TTCAGAATACAGTATAAATATATATATCTACACCAATAAAAGAAAAATAAATACACTAAAATTTGTTCTTTAATGGTATATGGTAGAAGAAGTACCAAAGTCATAGAGCCAAATGGCTCAAAATAATTTACCAAAACAATGGAATTATATTTTAAGGGTGGTATAAAATGATCAAGTCAGGCAAAACTCCAGTTAACTTCAGGGTCACCCTTCCAACCTGAAAGGGAAAGGGCACAGATAAAATTACAATATGAGGGCCAGGTGTGGTGGCTCACGCCTGTAATCCCAGCGCTTTGGGAGGCTGAGGAGGGTGGATCATGAGGTCAGGAATTCGAGCTCAGCCTGGCCAACATGGTGAAACCCCATCTCTACTAAAAATACAAAAATTAGCCAGGTGTGGTGGCGGATGCCTGTAATCCCAGCTACTAGGGAGGCTGAGGGAGAGAATTGCTTGAACCCAGGAGGCGGAGGATGCAGTGAGCTCAGATTGCGTCATTGCACTCCAGCCTGGACGACAGAGTGAGATTTCGTCTCAAAAAAAAAAAAAAAAAAAAATCACAATATGAGCCAATCTTCATTGACCACATTTATAGAAAAGATACGCATTTTGTAAAGTCCAGCTTAAAACCTAAGTCATCTTACTTGATTCATTTATATTTGGCATTATTTTATTGATATCCATTGAAAAATGAAAAGAAAAAAATCCCAAGCATTTCATGTAAATGGCTGGTTAAATAGCATCAATATCCTCTTAATGCTAACACTAAATGTGGCTAGCTATATTCCTTCTGCTGCAATGACCAGCTAAAAAGACTAACTTGGAACAAGTGAAACTCAAATTCCATTTTCCAGGGTTCTCAATAGCAAAATAATTATGAAAACAGAATAATAACAATAAAAATAATGCTCATACATTTTAAACTGGAGATGCAGACTTTTAAATTTTTAGAATAAGGACCCCTGCAATTGTCACCCAGTAAAGTACTTCTCAAATATTTAGACTATAGGCCACTTTAGTGGTATAAGCATGCTTATCCTTCCAGTTGCTACTTTCACATTATAAAGTCCATAGTAACAAATGATTTGAGAGAAACAAAATAAAAAGTTTGTAAGTTAAAATATAAGCCCATTAATATTCATCTAACTAAAGGATGTGACAATATTTTATATATATTGAACATGTACTATATGTTTTATATGCATTAATTCACTTATTCCTCACAACTGCCCTATGAAGTATATATTATTTCCATTTTGACAGTTTTATCATACTAATAAACTATGCTCTGATGATGATGATGATGATGATAATGAATACTAACACTTTAATAAGATTTACTATATGCCAATCACTGTTCTAAGCACCTAACCTATGTTAATTAATTCCCTCATAAACCTTACTAACTCATTTACTCATGAACATCAGGTAGGTAACATTATAATCCATTTTAGTGATGAGAAAACTGAGGCATGGACAAGTTACTTAATCTGCCCAACCACTTAAATGGCAGAGGAAGAAACACGTCTTAGGTAATCTGGTTCCAGAATTTGTATACACTTTAAGTTATATCACTAACCTATAGTCACATAACTAATAAATAGAAAAGTCATCAATATAGCCCCAATCTTTTGGCTTGGCCTCCACATCAAAACATTTCCCTAATATACCCAGTAAGAGACTTACAGAAAAGGTGACATTAAAATATACCACATCTAAAAACTAGGTAGTATGTAAGGTACTCAAATACATAAGCAAAGAATCTTTTCTATTCTTAGTCCAAACATCACATGAAAATAAAGTTATTCATATAGCTAATCGTGACTTACCTTCTATGGTACGCTATAATATAAAACCAATTATTTCTTATAAGATGTCAAGGACTTTAAAATAAAATGCACTGTTCCATCAAAATCAAAAGTTCTGCTTTTGCAAACCCTAATTTTTGTTCCAAAGTTTATAAATCTTGGATTCTAAAATTTTATATATATGTGTGTGTGTGTGTGTGTGTGTAATTCCTTTCAGTAATATCTAAATTATCTTAGTGATTCTACTTTCTAGAATTTTCCTTGTTCCAATAGACTGTATCCTGAAAACTCTTTGTAGGCTTTGTTATTTAAGATAAACTGCTCAGTAAAAAAAAAAAAAAGAAAAAAGACTCCATCTCATATCACAGTCTTTTTAGGAAAGAAATAGGTGGAAACAGACAATCCTGAAATGATGACCACTGTACAAAATAGCTGGCCTGTACTCTTCTCCAACGTTATTATCATGGAAGGTCCTATTATGAAAAACAAATAAAAGCTAATAAACTATTCCAGGTTAAAGGAAACCAAACAAATGTGACAACTATGCAATTTATGATTGTGAATCAGACCAACTGTAAAATTTTAATATGAACTATATATTAGATAACAGCAATGTTTCTTGAATTGGTTATTATATTGTGGTTAAGTAGGAAATATTTTAGAGTGAAGGATCATGATTGTCTACAACTTTTTCTCAAATGGTTCATCATCATCACTGTAATGGTAAAGGGGGAAGGGGAAAAGGAAAAGTAAATACAGAGAGAGATAAAGCAAATTCCATAAAATGTTTGTAATGGTGAAACTGGGCAATGGGCATGCAGATGTTCAGTCTAGCAATTTTGTAACTATTTGGTACATGTGCAATTGTTTTTAATGTTAAGAAGAAATCGAAAAGATTAAAAAGGTCATAATGAGGAAAATATGACTTTAGAGTCACTCCGTGAACAGTGAGGAAAGACAGACACCAAGCTAATGTTCAGTCACTGCATTATTCTATCAATTTTCTCTCCCTTTCTCTTTCATAAAGTCGAGGTACTAACGTTCCTTTCCTGAAAACTCTTAAAGACATGGCTCTCCTACTTAATTAAAATTTCTCTTTATGATAATACATCCTACTCCGCAAAACTTTCTTTTTTAATCAGAATACTTAATTCATTTATTGCTTCTTAGGGAGAAATAACAGTCTGATTGGAAACAACAGAAAACATAAATTAATACAGGTTGAACATCCCAAGTCCAAAATCCGATACACTCCACAATCTGAAGCTTTTTGAGCACCAATATGATACTCAAAGGAAATGCTCACGGGAGCATGTAGGATTTCAGATTTCGGATGCTCAGCTGATAAGTATACCGCAAATATTTTAAAATCCAAAATATGGAACATTTCTAGCGACAAGCATTTCAGATATGGGGCACTCAACATGTAAATACAAATGTATCATCAGTTAATAAAAGCCAGAAACCGAGAGTTGTGTTTGCTCTAGAAACTGATGAAAAAAAAAAATTTTTTTTTTGAGAGGAGTCTCGCTCTGTCACCCAGGCTGGAGTGCAGTGGCTTGATCTTGGCTCACCGCAAGCTCTGCCTCCCAGGTTCACACCATTCTCCAGCCTCAGCCTCCCAAGTAGCTGGGACTACAGGTGCCTGCCACCACACCGGGGTTTTTTTGGGTATTTTTAGTGGAGACGGGGTTTCACTGTGTTAGCCAGGGTGGTCTCAATCTCCTGACCTCATGATCCACCCGTCTCAGCGTCCCTTGAAGTGCTGGGATTACAGGTGTGAGCCACCGCACCTAGCCAAAACTGATGAAATTTTAAAGAGGCAGAGATAGTAAGATTAGATGAATACCTTCTTAAATAATTTTGTACCTCTAGTCCTTGCTTTAAAGCTCTCTGCCAACTTCCAAACTCACTGTTAATTCCAAACACAGGCATTGTTGGCCAACTAAATTTTACTGCCTTTAACTTCAATGATCTATAAAACCCCACGCTCTAGGTTGACAGGTATCACTTTCCATGGTGACAACTGTCTCCTCCTTTAAAAGTGAATGGGCGTGCAGCTGGGGCACATGGATGAAGAGGATTTCTGGGGTGGTGGTATTGTTCTACTTCTTAATCCAGGCCAATGTTTACACAAATATGTTCAGTACATAATAAAAAGTTATATGCTTATAATTTTTTATTTTTATCTATGTATAATTCAATTAAAAGTCTATTAATTAACACATTTTCTCCTGGAAGTTTTCCCTTACTGATTTATCAGTTTCTGATCACTCTTCAACTCTTTTATCTACTGTCTTGGCTTGGTGCATGTTTATTTTTCTACTGCTCCCATTAGCATGTTCATGGATATACAGGTTCTATTCAGCTAGCTCACAAACTCTAAAACAGTAACAATGTAAAAATGCCCATATGGACACTATATATACATAAATTACAAAGGTATATATTATATGGGTATACCTACATACTATACAGGTATACTTATAATTATATAGGTATATATTATGTAATTTTATGCATAAATGTATAAAATTAACTGGATATATGTTAGAAATATACGAAGCAAGGCCGGGCGCGGTGGCTCAAGCCTGTAATCCCAGCACTTTGGGAGGCCGAGACGGGCGGATCACGAGGTCAGGAGATCGAGACCATCCTGGCTAACATGGTGAAACCCCGTCTCTACTAAAAATACAAAAAACTAGCCGGGCGAGGTGGCGGGCGCCTGTAGTCCCAGCTACTTGGGAGGCTGAGGCAGGAGAATGGCGTAAACCCGGGAGGCGGAGCTTGCAGTGAGCTGAGATCCGGCCACTGCACTCCAGCCTGGGCGACAGAGCGAGACTCCGTCTCAAAAAAAAAAAAAAAAAAAAAAAAAAAAAAAAAAAAAAAAGAAATATACGAAGCAAATCTGGAGATGGTTTACTACAGTTTTTCTGCTGCCATTTTCAATTCAGTAAGGACTTTGAGGGTCTCATCATAAGTGATTTCAACATACACTAAAATAGCTCATAAAGTGTACCCTAGAATTTTCCTATCATTTTCATTTAGGAATGTCAGCACCTGTTTTACACTAACCTTGAAGCATCCCAGATCAAACACATATTTCCATAAAAGATAACAGTCAACAGGTATTCATTTTCCTTCCATACTTTTGCAGAGACAAAGCTCTTTAAAAATAGAACTACAATTCCTACCTGGGAGACTTCTTTGTTCATAATGAATCCTCAAAACAGATATGGTCAAATCTCGTGTTCCAGAGGGTAGCTTCCTGGGGAATGGGATAATGATGTTTTCCAGAGATGGCTCTAGTCTCTTCACTCTCACCTCATTTAAGGCCGATTATATAAACAACTAGAATAAAAAGACAAAAATAAAAGCAGAAGGGATGTTAGATTGCCATTTTATTCTCCAATTAATAATAAAGGTCAGATATGCTAGAAAAAGAAAAAAATGCAACTTTCAGAGTGAAATGGAAAAATATTTCCAAAAGACAATGGATAAAGATCTCATTTTATAGCTTAAGTCCTTTCTGGTGATTAAGTACTCCTGTTTGAGAATGATGCTTAGGTAAAACATAATTGCATTCTACCCTTAAACTTCTGAAAGACTCATTTATATGTCTTTTAAAAGTTGTTTTGGGCTGCATTTGTGTATTTATCCTTTTTCCTACTTACAAATTCTGATTTTTTCATATTTTCAGTTATCACCTAATTCTTTAGTTATGTAACACTCCTATAATATTTTATCTTCAAATTTCTAATTGAAAAAGTTTACAAACATTTTATATTTGTAATACTTCAAAAAGATGGCAGTTGACGTCTGGTTCTAGTAATGATGAACTACCTTATATCGAACTAATTTGCCCACGGATAACAGTTATAAACTCTGGACAAAACATAAAAAACAACTGTTTGAAGAAATTGGAAAGTGACCAAAGCGGACAGAAATTGTAGGGGTTCTGATCATTGAAAGAAAGGAATTATGTTGGGTGAGATACACACTTATGAGACTCTCCTGGAAGGGAACTCTTCCCAGCACTCCCACGTAAGCTCAGAGAGACTAGGTTTAAATGAGAAAACCACAGTCTTATTGGCTTGAGGCATTAAAGAATGTAAATCAGAGCTAAAAGGAAGCTGGAAATTGAGTAGACTAGATTACAGATCTTACTTGAATTTTGCCAGTTTTTGCATGCACTCATTTTTTGTATGTCTTTTTTACAATTCTATGACATTTTAGCACATGTACAGATTCATGTAACTATACCACAATGAGATTCACTGCTCCATCACCACAGGTGAATTGTTTCATGCTGTTTATAATCACATCCCCCTTCCCCTTTCCTTAACTCTTGACAACTGCAATCTGTTCCCTATTTCTATAATTTTTGTCACTTTGAGAATACTACATAAATTGAATCATGTAGCATGGAATCTTTTCAAGTTGGCTTTTCTAAATTTATTTTATTTATTTATTTTTATTATACTTTAAGTTCTAGGGTACATGTTCACACAGCATAATGCCCTTGAGATCCAACCAGTTTGGTGCATGTATCAATAGTTCATTCCTTTTTATTGCTCCATGGTACAGTGGTGCCACAGTTTTTTTCACTATTTGTCCTGTAAAGTGCATTTGGGTTGTGTTTAGTTTTTGGCTATTATAAATAAAGCTGCTATGAATATTTGTGTACAGGCTTTTGTAAAAACATTCGTTTTCATTTCAATGCCTGGGACTGTAATTGCTGAGTTGTATAGTTAAGTGTATGTTTACTAGCCAGTAATTTAGTTGTCTACTAAAAGATAAATCAATACTCTTCAAAAAGAGTTAACAATCCACAATGTCATCCACAACATCCAGTATGCAATAAAAAATTACTAAACATGCAAAGAAGCTAGAAAATGTAACTCCAGATCAAGAGAAAAGGTGGTCGACAGCAGCACACCACAAGTTGATTTAGGTGTTGGAAATACCTAACAAAGATGTGAATGTAGCTATTATAAATATGTTTAAAGATTTTAAATATAAATGTATATTTTATTTATATATAATGGGTAAACACACGAGAAATACTGGCAGCAAATGGAAACTGAGAAAGAAATAAATGGAAGTTCAAGAGCTAGATCATTCAATAGCAAATTTCAAGATTCACTGGCCAGACTTAACAACAGTAGATTTGTGACAGCAGAAAAACAAGTCAGTGAACTTGAAATGAAAATAATACCAAGTCTGAAGAAGAAAAAGAAACCACACAACCACACATACCCCTTCTATAATCTGGAGAAAACACACACACACACACACACACACACACACACACGCCTTCTGTAATCTGTTGGCAATACCAAGCATGTAATTGATGAGAGGAGAAAGATACTGGGGCAGAAATAGTATTATGCGGAAATAATGATTGAAAATTTTCAAAATTTGGTGAAAAATAAACTGTCAGATCCAGTGTGTCTCAATAAATCCCACTCAGAATAAATACAGAGACACCAACTCTGGCAAAGTCGAGTCAAACCACTAAAAAAAAATTAACATAAAATTTTGAAACTAGCTTGGTCAAGGTAGCACATCACATACAAGAAAACAAAGATATAAATGGTAACTGATTTCTCATTGGTAACAACAGAGGCAAGAAGATAATGGAATAATTTCTTCCATTAAAATACTGAAGGCGGGGTAGCCCTATCAACTCACAATTCTATATCCAGCAAAAATATCCTTCAAAAAACTGAAGGCAAAATTAAAAACACTTTAACATAACCAAACATAATCTGCTGTAAGATTAATATATAAGAAATACTAAAGGAACTTTTTCAGGCTAAAGAGAAATGATGCTAGGTAAAGTCAGATCTACAAAACAGAAGCAAAAGCATCAGAAATCATAAATACAAGGGTAAATAAAAAGGACTATGTATTTTTTACTCTTTAAAAGATGTATGTATTCTTTCTTTAAAAGATAAGTGATTATATAAAATATATTTAAAAATATAAAATATTGTGGCATTTGTAATGTATTAAATGTTAATTATATTACAATAATAACACAAAGGATGGGAAGGTATAAATGCAATTATACTGTTGCAAGTCTCTTAAATTTCACTATTACAACATTAACTATAAATAAATTTATAAATTAAGGATATATATTGTAATTCCTAGAGCAGCCACTTAAAAATTATAAAAGAGTAGTGTTCAAAAGGTTATAAGGAATTTGAAAATATAAGAAAGTATAGCTAAAAAGTTAACAGGAATTATCAGTACTCTACTAAAAAATATTTGGTTAACCCAAAAGAAGGCACGAAAATAGGAAAAGAAGAACAAGGAACAAATGGTATCTTAAACCCAACCATATTAATTACATTGAATATAAAATAACTAAACATTACAATTAAAAGATGGAAACTAGAGAAAAAGCAAACCCACACTATAAGCTGTCAATAAGAGATATAGTTTAAATATAAAGACACAAACAGGTTGAAAGTTTAAAAAATGGAAAAGAATATATTACACAAACAGCAAACACAAGAAAGCAATATAAATATCAGCAAAAGCAGACTTCAGGACTAGGAATGTAACTAAAGATAAAAAGGGAAGTTTCATAAAAGAGTCAATGCATCAGGAAGACAGAATCATAATTTTAAAGAAATTTTTAATTGTTTTAGAGACGGGGTTTTGCCCAGGCTGGTCTTGAGCTCCCAGGCTTAAGTGATCCTCCTACTATGGCCTCCCAAAGTGCTAGGATTATAGGTGTGAGCCACCATGCCCAGAATCATAAGTTATGCAAATAATAACAGAGCTTCAAAATAAATGAAGCATAAACTAACAGAACTTAAAAGAGAAATAGAAAAATCCATTCATATCATTGAAGATTTTAACATTCCTCTCTCCATAATAGATTTTTAAAAACCAGTAAGGAAATAGGAGATTTGACGAACAGTGATAACTAGCTTGTCCTAAATGAACATTCATAGAACAGTACATCCAACAACTGGCAAATGTACATTTATTTGCAAGTGCACATGAAACTATTATTCAACATGAAACAAATGGTGAACCATTTTTTATATAACACATTTCTAAACATTGAAATCTTAAAGGGTATGTTCTCTCACTACTATGGAATTAGAAACCATTAACATATCCAGAAAAGTCTTAAACAGGTAGAAATTTGACAACATACCTGTTAATGACCTACAGTGAAAGAAGAAAATACAATGGAAATTAGAAAACAAGTGAAACTGAAATAAAGTAAACAAATGACATCAACATTAGTTGAATGACTCTGAAGCTGCATTTATACTCTGCATACACACACACACACACACACACACATTTTTTTTTTTTTTTTTTTGAGACAGAGTCTCGCATTGTCGCCCGGACTGGAGTGGAGCGACACGATCTCGGCTCACTGCAACCTCCGCTTTTCAGGTTCAAGCGATTCTTCTGCCTCAGCCTCCCAAGTAGCTGGGATTACAGATGCCCATCATCACGCCTGGCTAATTTTTTGTATTTTTAGTAGAGGCAGGCTTTCATTATGTTGGTCAGGCTGGTCTTGAACTCCTGACCTCATGATTCACCTGCCTCGGCCTCCCAAAGTGCTGGGATTACAGGCGTGAGCCACCACGCCCGGCCTATACTCTGCTTACAGTTTTTAAAAAGTTCAAAATCACAGATATAAACTAAAAATAATACATTTAATATTATAATCAATGAATAAATATGGACAACTGAAAAAAACTAAAACTAAAAGTTGTTTTTTTGAAAAGGTAAAAAATTGATAAAACTTTAGCAAGATTGATCAAGAAAAAGTTACCAACACAAATTACTAATACTAGAAATGTGACGGATGTCACCACAGATTGTACAAATATAGTGTTCTGAACAACATTTTACAAATCAACTCAGTAACTGACATAAAATGAAAAATCTCAAGAAATTAAATTTTTTATTTTATTTTATTTATTTATTTTAATTTATTTTTTATTATTATTATACTTTAAGTTGTAGGGTACATGTGCATAACGTGCAGGTTTGTTACATATGTATACTTGTGCCATGTTGCTGTGCTGCACCCATCAACTCATCAGCACCCATCAACTCGTCATTTACATCAGGTATAACTCCCAATGCAATCTCTCCCCCCTACCCCCTCCCCATGATAGGCCCCCGTGTGTGATGTTCCCCTTCCCGAGTCCAAGTGATCTCATTGTTCAGTTCCCACCTATGAGTGAGAACATGCAGTGTTTGGTTTTCTGTTCTTGTGATAGTTTGCTAAGAATGATGGTTTCCAGCTGCATCCATGTCCCTACAAAGGACACAAACTCATCCTTTTTTATGGCTGCATAGTATTCCATGGTGTATATGTGCCACATTTTCTTAATCCAGTCTGTCACTGATGGACATTTGGGTTGATTCCAAGTCTTGGCTATTGTGAATAGTGCTGCAATAAACATACGTGTGCATGTGTCTTTATAGCAGCATGATTTATAATCCTGCGGGTATATACCCAGTAATGGGATGGCTGGGTCATATGGTACATCTAGTTCTAGATCCTTGAGGAATCACCATACTGTTTTCCATAATGGTTGAACTAGTTTACAATCCCACCAACAGTGTAAAAGTGTTCCTATTTCTCCACATCCTCTCCAGCACCTGTTGTCTCCTGACTTTTTAATGATCGCCTTTCTAACTGGTGTGAGATGGTATCTCATTGTGGTTTTGACTTGCATTTCTCTGATGGCCAGTGATGATGAGCATTTTTTCATGTGTCTGTTGGCTGTATGAATGTCTTCTTTTGAGAAATGTCTGTTCATATCCTTTGCCCACTTTTTGATGGGGTTCAGCAAAGTCTCAGGATACAAAATTAATGTGCAAAAATCACAAGCATTCTTATACACCAGTAACAGACAAACAGAGAGCCAAATCAGGAATGAACTTCCATTCACAATTGCTTCAAAGAGAATAAAATACCTAGGAATCCAACTTACAAGGGATGTAAAGGACCTCTTCAAGGAGAACTACAAACCACTGCTCAGTGAAATAAAAGAGGACACAAACAAATGGAAGAACATACCATGCTCATGGATAGGAAGAATCAATATCGTGAAAATGGCCATACTGCCCAAGGTTATTTATAGATTCAATGCCATCCCCATCAAGCTACCAATGAGTTTCTTCACAGAATTGGAAAAAACTGCTTTAAAGTTCATATGGAACCAAAAAAGAGCCCACATTGCCAAGACAATCCTAAGTCAAAAGAACAAAGCTGGAGGCATCACGCTACCTGACTTCAAACTATACTACAAGGCTGCAGTAACCAAAACAGCATGGTACTGGTACCAAAACAGAGATATAGACCAATGGAACAGAACAGAGTCCTCAGAAATAATACCACACATCTACAGCCATCTGATCTTTGACAAACCTGAGAGAAACAAGAAATGGGGAAAGGATTCCCTATTTAATAAATGGTGCTGGGAAAATTGGCTAGCCATAAGTAGAAAGCTGAAACTGGATCCTTTCCTTACTCCTTATACGAAAATTAATTCAAGATGGATTAGAGACTTAAATGTTAGACCTAATACCATAAAAACCCTAGAGGAAAACCTAGGTAGTACCATTCAGGACATAGGCATGGGCAAAGACTTCATGTCTAAAACACCAAAAGCAACGGCAGCAAAAGCCAAAATTGACAAATGGGATCTCATTAAACTAAAGAGCTTCTGCACAGCAAAAGAAACTACCATCAGAGTGAACAGGCAACCTACAGAATGGGAGAAAATTTTTGCAATCTACTCATCTGACAAAGGGCTAATATCCAGAACCCACAAAGAACTCAAACAAATTTATTTTATTTATTAAAATAACCACAGAAAGAAACAGACTGTATGTATTAAATACATTTGTAATTAAAAACAAAACAAAACTCCAGGTCCAAATGGCATCACAGGTAAGCTGCATCCAACATTTAAGGAAGTAATAACAGCAATCTTATACACTTCCAGGAAAGTAGGAGAGGGATATTTCCCAATGTGTTTTATTAGGCTAGCAGAACCCTAATACTAAGATCTGGCAAAGATATTAACAGAAAAGAAAATCAGCCTCATGAGTACAGATTTATAAAAAAAAAAAAAAACAAATTGAATCCAGACATATATAAGAATAGACTATTATCAAGTGGTATACCCAAGGATTTAAAATTCAAAAACCAATCTTCTGATGGAGATTAACATCCAGAATATATAAGGAACTCAACAGCTACAACAACAACAATCCGATATAAAAAATGGGCAAATAATCTGAACAGGCATTTCTCAAAAGACATACAAATGGCCAAAAGAAGTCATACAAATATATGAAAACATGTTCAACATCATTAATCATCAGGGAGAAACAAATCAAAACCACAATGAGGTAATCATCTCATCCCAGTTAGGATGATAGCTATTATCAAAAAGACAAAAAATAACAAATACTGATGAGGATGTGGAGAAAAGAGAACTCTTAAACACTGTTGGTGGGAATGTAAACCAGTACAACCACTATGGAGAACAGTATGGAGGTTCCTCAAAAGAACAGAAACTACAAATAGAACTACCATATAATACAGCAATCCCACTACTTGGCATTTAGCCAAAGAAAAGGAAATCAGTATATCAAAGAGACATGTGCACTACCATGTTGACTGCAACACTATTTACAATAGCTAAGATATGGAATCAACCTGGGTGTCTAACAACAGATGAATGGATAAAGAAAATGTAGCATAGATACATAATAGAGTACTATTCAGCCATAAAAAAGAATGAAATCCTGCTATTCATGGCAATGTGACTGGAATTGGAAGAAATAAGCCAGAAACAGAAAATTAAGCATCACATGTTCTCACTCCTATGTGGAAGCTTAAAAAAAAAAAAAAAGTTGATCTCATAGAAATAAAAGTAGAATATAAGATACTAGAGGCTGGGAAGCGTAGGGGGAAGAGGGATAAGGAGAGAGAGAGATTTGTTAAAGGATACAAAATTATAGCTAGATAGGAGGAATAAGTCCTAGTGTTCTATACCACTGTTGGATAACTACAGTAAACAATATATTGTGTAGTTTCGGCTGGGTGCAGTGGCTCACGCCTGTAATCCCAGCACTTTGGGAGGCCGAGGCAGGTGGATCACCTGAGGTCGGGAGTTCAAGATCAGCCTGACCAACATGGAGAAACCCTGTCTTTACTAAAAAATACAAAATTAGCCACACGTGGTGTCGTACGCCTGTAATTCCAGCTACTTGGGAGGCTGAGGCAAGAGAATGGCTTGAACCGGAAGGTAGAGGTGGCGGTGAGCCGAGATCACGCCATTGCACTCCAGCCTGGGCAACAAGAGCAAAACTCCACCTGAAAAAACAAAACAAAACAGAAAACCCCAATATATTGTATAGTTTCGAACAGCTAGAAGGAAGATAATGAATGCGTGCAACATAAAGAAACGATAAATGTGTGAGATGATGGATAGGCTATTAATAATTACTCTGAGCTGATCACCATACATTATATGTATCAGACATCACTATCTATCTCATAAATATGTACAATCATTATTTGTAAATTTAAAAATTAACATAAAAAAGTTAAATCTAAATAATTTACCATATTAACAGAATCTTAAAAAAAATCCCAATGGATGCGGAAAAAGCATCTGAGAAAAATCAGCACCCATTCATGATAAAACTCTCAGTAAGCTGAAAGTTAAAAGTTATTCCTTCAATCTGATAAGGAGGATAAATGAAAAACCTACAGCTAGTACTTTATACAATGGTAAAATATTGCAAGTTCTCATAATACTGTGTTCAAGTCAAGAATGTTCACTCTCCCCACTTCTATTCATCATTGTGTTGAATATAGTGGAGCTCCTACTTAGAGCAAAAAGGCCAGAAAAAGAAATAAAAGTTAGGGAAGAAAGAATTAAAATTGTCTTTATTTACTTAAAAATGAATTTTTGGTCAATAATTTTAAGGAATCTGAGAACCAATTATTAGAATTAGGCGAATTTGGCAAGGTGAATATACTATACAAAGGTGAATACAATAAAGTGAATTTAGTAAGGTGAATTCACAAGGTGAATATACAAATATCAATTGTTTCTATACAAATGTAGCAAACAATTGGAAAATAACATTTAAAAACAATTTTATTTTTTATTTAT